CCCCCCCAACCACAATCACAATGTGGCTGTGCCTCCTGTGCTCATTCCTTCAGAGTTGTGTCTCAATAATGCTGCCCAGATCACTAAGTGAGGGAAAAAAACCTAACAAAAAAAAAAAAAAAAACCTAATGCAGCCACCACATCTAATGATTGGTAAACTGCTATATATTAAATTTTTGGTTTTGGGTGTAATACTGCTTTACCTACAGCAGGCAGAGCACAGACGTATTTTACTGACAGGGTAGTAGATACTTGGAATGGACTTCCAGCACAGGTACTGAGTCAACAAACAGTAAGTGGTTTCAAACATACATGGGACAAAGACAGATCTATGCTATGCTAAGAAAAAAAAAAAAAAAAAAAAAGGAATTGGACCACCTTTTTTGCCGTCACTTTTCTATGTTAGGAGCTGTCTCATGATGAACTACCACCTAAAAATGACAAATCCTGCGTCGTACAAAAACATTTTCTGGACACAGATACCAAACAAAAATAGTTTAATTCTCAAAAGAAGAAAAAAAAAAAAAAAAAAAAAAAGTCACAATATACAGAATTCTATAAAGAGCAAACTGAACAATCATATAGGACCCATGCTAATAGGGTCATTAAAGCCCAACTTTACATCTGCCGTGCATCTCACAACATCTGCCCAATGACGCATGTACAGAGCGTGGGGAGGAGAAGTGTACAAATCAAAGGAAAAAAATTAGAAAAAGCCAAGGAAATGGTTTTATGTATGTATTTTATGCGGTTATGATACAGAACACACTCTAAGGCTTGTTAAAATACATGAAAGACCCAGTGTTCAAAATGAATACTATCTGTGTTGCCTCTAACACCCAGGATGCAATGGCAGAATCCGATTGGTGCCAAGGACAATGCACAAGAGATTGCTTGCTATAACCCACAAGTTCTTCAGCCACTTTTAGTTTGGTACAAGAGGCATGGAAAGCTTCCCTATAAAATAGAAACCCCAAAATGTGAGTCCCGTTACCTTAGTGTTGGGAGCTTTTCTCTTTTAAGCAGAGCTGGCATCAAAATGCACGGTTCACGTACTCCTTACAGCCCGGCCCCAGGTAAAAATCAAAGTACATGAAGAAAGAAACATACTTATCTTAGACCTTACTCCTGCCCTCTTTGCCTAGGCAAGAGTGCCATATTGGGCCTTCCAGATGGATCCTGAGTAAGCTGGGGATCCCAAATCTTGAAAAGAAAATCTCAAAATAAGGGGATGCGGTGTCCAAAACTGATGAAAAATTCTTTACTTCCGAGACTGAACAGTTTTGAGCGACCACGCTATGTCAAATCACACATGGCTTGACAAAGAGGGTGGTCGCTCAAAACTGTTCCAACTTTGGAAGCAGGGGCGGACTGAGCATTTGGAAACTCAGGCACTGCCCGAGGGCTCGGGGTCAGTAGGGGGCCCCATGAGATGCCCCTGGTACCTTTTTCTTTGGCTTTTTTGAGTTTGGGCAAGGACACATGGGCCCCATGATCCCCTATTGCCCGGGGGCCCCATGAGTTGTCAGTCCACCCCTGTTTGGAAGAAAAGAATTTTGCATCAGTTTTGGATATCACATCCTTTCTGTTGATATATAGTTTTGGAAGAACAGTGGAAGCCCATCTTGATGTGGAAAGTCAACGCTTCAAGGAACAAGTGATAAGTGTAATTCACATACATATTTTTATATACCTATATATATATTTTTATATACATATATATATATATATATATATATATATATATATATATATAATACATTTTTTCCCATTATAGCTGTAATGCCACATTTTTACATAGGGTGGGGCGGATTAAGCAGACCTTGCATTTTGATGCTCAGTCCTCTTTAAAGCCAAATTCCAGCATTGTCCTGCACCCTCCCCCACCAGTTTTTTTTAAACCCCTATTTATACATACTTTTATTTCTTAATGCCTTATTGTCGGCCATGTTATGTCAGCCCCTGGCCTATTCTGCTTTTCATCTGGCAGTAATGGGGGTAGGCATTCTTTCAGGACAGAGGAGCGCTCCCGTAAAGATGCGTGTGCTGCTCTGTCCTAGAGCACTGTGAGCCCAGCCAGCGTGCTCTTCATTGAGAAAGCCTACGATGCCGCTCCAGGTTTCCATTCCAACAGCCTCCATTGACTTGCACTAAAAGGGTGCCGGCTTGGAGAAAGCCCATCCGGGCTCAGTAAGCAAACGTTAACAAAAAGGAAATCCAAGAACCAGAAAGAGCCCAAAGTGTGAGACAAATGAAAGTGGCTTCAACCAAGTCACAGCTCCAACACGTTTCGTTAAGCCCTGTAGGCAGGACAAAACGCATCGGAAAGTGTGACCTGCTTGGAGCCAGGCTGAAGTCGATTTCATAAACTTGTCTCACATCTGGGTTCTTTTTGGCGTATGGCGCTTGAATTCCCAGCCAGGATGATGACGCAGCTCCGGGACGGAAGGGGCAGTTATGTTGAGCACAGGCTGGTCTCAATGGCCAGAATGACAAGGTATTGCCCTGCCTACCCTGAAGAGGACCTTGGGCACTGGACTAAGCAGGAAGTCTGGGTCAGTGCTGGAAGGTGGAGAAGGAAAGTGAACCTTAGCACGATAGGGGGGGGCTAAAAATGGTACTTTAAAAAAAATCCTGGAGTTACACTTTAAAGATTAAGCACTATAGGAGTGAAATGAGTTAGAGGTGAAGAGAGCGCCAAAGCCACCTGACATTTTTACAACCTTGGTGTACACAGTGCTCATACCAGTGGACCGGCACCTTGTAGCAGGCTGAACTGACTGGAGCAAAACACAGGAGTATCAGAGCGGTACTTTCTTCAAGGATCACTTTAAAGACACCTAGGGGAGACGTGCTAAAACTGGTGAACTCAGAATCTGGTGCAGCTATATATGGTAGTCAATCAGCTTCTAACTTGTTCAGTTAAGATTTGAAAATAAAACCTGGAAGCCGATTAGTTTCTATGCAGAGCTACACCAGATTTTGCACTCTCCAGTTTTAGTAAATCCCCTCCATAGTGTTCAGTTTGGTTCCATTATTTTGTAGATATTTCACGGACTCTGACATACTCTTACCAGCAGACTGGCATCTAGTTGCCTGTTGAATTGACCGGAGCAACACGCAAGGGAATCAGAGGGGTACCTCAAGAGTCACTAACCCCTTCCCGCCGGCGCCTCCCAGCCCTTTAAGAGTTTCAGACGCCGGGAGGCGGGGCGGGTGGGGCGTGGTTTAGGGATCATGTGACTGCCGTGACGTCACGGTCACATGATCGGGGAAGGTCCCGATCGAAAGAGCAGACCGGGACCTTTCCTTGAGTACCAGAAATGTGTGCTGGGAGTGCGCAGGCGCGCGTTCTCAACATGTTTTTTTCTTACATGAATTCAAATGTGCGGCCGCTCGGTGTCTAGGACCAGATGCCGGAAGGCCACACATTTGTGTACGGCTGGCTTAAAGGGGTTAAAAGACAGTGTTGTGTTCTAAAGCTAGCTTGGTAGTCAAGGACCTGTTGCCTATTAGCTGGTTGTCACCAAACTCAGAAACCTGGGTGTACCTCAATTATGAAATCTGACTGGTTGAGCTGAACACACCTCCATGTGCTGTACTATCAGAGCTGCCATATTTACGGTGGGTCATCCAATGAAATCAAGTAACAGGTGCAATTACCAGGGGAGGATGTTCCTTATCCAGCAGCCAGGCAGAAGAGCCCATGGAATCTGCATTACTACATATAAAGTCTTCACAGCGAATGCAGCATCTCTTCAAAGGGACCATGCTATCACTTAGCCTAGGTTCACACTACAAATGGCATGGGAAGTGGACCGCATTCCTATACAATTCATATGTGATTCTGTGTGGTGTGACTTGAACCCATTCATTTTGAATGGGCTCAAATCGCACCGCATCAAAACAGTACATGCACCAATTTTAGAAAAACACTGCAACCGGATTTCATGTCGTTTTGTACCCTGCAATCCGGCGCATTGCATTTGCAACCTGCGTTTTTGGGTGTCGTTAACATTGCACCAACACCAGCAGCAGATTGAAAGGGAAGCTCGATTTCACTGCGGTGTGGAAAATGCGTGCGGAAGGCAGGCATATTCTAGTGTGACCCGGGGCTTACTGAGAGACATTTCCTGGTCCAAACCCAATTACAAAAAACGCAACTAGTGGGTGACAAAGCGTTTGACCTCAATGTATGATAACAGACACGAAAGGGTGACATGGCTCCATTGCCCTTAGCATCCACGTTTGCCATTTCTAACTGGAGCTAGAGAATTGGCAGCATCCATCGGAGTTCTACACTTCAACATATTCTGACCTATTTTTCAAAAATAAAGTCTAATATCCTCTACCTACAGGATACTGCACTTCCATACTGGCTATAATACAGTACGCAACAGAAGCAAGCCTTTCATACTTGAATAAATTATACTGAATTTGGAGCATATGCTATGTTAAACTAACAGGGCGTCTCCTTGGGGAATCTCATTGACAAAATACATTCATTAGATTATATCTTACTGGAAGGAGGAATGGTAATATTAATGGAAAGGCGCGAGAGGCGGCTGGATGAGGGGTGGCCAGTGACTAGACAAGAGAGAGATAGCAGCATTGGCGGAAGAGGGGCTTCCATGCATGTACATTCACTGAGATATGGTTTCTGGCGGAGGAGACATCACGCCAGTACAGAGGAAGAGAGGACTGTGCATTAAACATGTGTAATGTTAAGCCTGAGCTTAACGGCTGTCACCCCGCTCAGTATAGAACAGAACGCCATGTCATGAGACCTCAGGTTGAACACGCTATTCCCTACCCCCCCCCCCCCCCCACCCGGTGTCCTAGCCACAGTATTCCTCAATGGTGACCCGATACAAAACACTTAACCAGCAACTCGCTGCTTTGACTCTCACACTCCGGAAGAGATAGGAGTCGCCAGCTGAGATATTACAGTGATGTTTCTGTGTGTTTAAGATGCACGCCGTCACTCTCTCCCAGCCTCCTCAGTGCTGCATGGCGCCGGAGTTCTCGTGGCTTGAAGGTGGCGGGCCCTCTCCGGACCCGGGTGTTTTCTTCTTGTGGCCCCGGATGCAGTGGGAGCTGTCGCAGCCCTCGTCGTCATCTTCGCTCTCGGTGGAGCTTTCCCCAAAAGCCCTCGGCTTCTCGTAGATGCAACAGCCTGCGGAATAAAGGATATATTTATCGAAGGTAATGACGTCCATTCAACCGAGAGGACAGTAGGAGCAGCCAGTCTGAAGAAGAGCTCAGTAGCCAAGTGCATCCTGTCTAGGAGCCAAGAGATGTATTAATGCTGACCTAAAGCCTTCCCTGCAGTCTTGTATAGTTGTACCGGCTCCTCTCCTGGCCTGAAACTACTTACTCTGATTTCAATGCACACTGTGAGCTTCTCACAATTTGCATTAGAAACTGCAGCAAGTCAGACAGAGCTCCGCCTCATTTCCTTCCCAGCCTGACTGTCCTTGGGCTGCCCCTTTCATTAACTGGATTTCAGTTCTTTCAATAATGGACTGATTGAAAATGGAAAAAAGAACTCATTGACTGTTTAGGCACCACCATGATATTTCATAAAAACAACATTTTATCGAACAGACAGACAGAACCCCCAAACATTATATATATTTTCTGAAAGCTGACACCCTAGACAATTAAATAGTGGTAGTTCCAATTTTCTTTGTCACATGATATTACCGCTAAGGTCTAGGAAACGCAAAGTTTCAGTAAAAAACATACTAAAGTGAATTTTTGGGCAAAAAAAAAAAAAAAAAAAAAAAAACACAAGACATTACCCAAATGTTTGTTAAAATGAAAAAAAAAAAAAAAAAAAAAAAAAAAAAAAAAAAGGTTGTGATTGAGTAAAATAGATACCCAGCATGTCAAAACTTAAATTTGTGTCTCCTATGAAATGACGACAAACATAGATAGATAGATAGATCTCTCTCATACACACACTAGTGGTGCACCGAAATGAAAATTCGGGTGCCGAAACCGAAAATTCGAAATGCACTTGGCCGAAATGAGCAGTTTTTAAAAATGAATATATATTTTTTTGGCAAAAAAAAAAACAAACTTTGATTAAAAAAGCAATATTAACCCCAATTGTTTTGTAAAATATGTAAGAGGATGTTATGGCGAGTAAATAGATACCAAACATGTCACACTCTAAAATTGTGCACGATTGTGGAATGGTGTGAAACTGCGGTGCTTAAAAATCTCCATGGGTGATGCTTTAAAAAATGTTTACAGGTTAACAGTGTAAAGTTACAGAGGAGGTGTAGTGCGAGAATTATTGCTCTTGCTAGGACGTTCGTGGCGATACCTCACGTGTGTGGTTTGAACACCATTTACATATGTGGGCATGGCCTATGTAAGTGTTCACCAGTACGTGCGAGCACGGGGACGGGGACAATTTAACCTTTTTTAAAAAAAATGTTATTACATTTTTTTTCTATTTTTTCACTGTTTCTTGTAATCACTTTTATTCTTATCACGAGAAATGCATGCATCCCTTGTGATAGAAATAATTAGTGACAGGTCCTCTTTATGGAGAGATATGGGGTCAATAAGACCCCACATCACTCCTCTACGATGTAAAGCATTATATCAAAAAAAAGCATTGATCTAGTGCTTTAAAAAAAAAAACAAACAAAAAAAAAAAAAAACCCGAAACCGAAAGTGCCATCACTCCGGTCCTCCAAAGGCATAGAGATGTGTGGCGGCCATCTTTCCTTCTCTGATCTCTATGCCAAATGCCGGAATCGATGGTTTCTCAGGTAAGACTGAACTACCAAGTTTGGGCAGGCGGGGCGGCTTTTGAGGGGCGCAGTTTTTTTTTTTCCGCACCTGTATCGGTGCGTTTTTTTCATTTTGGCCGACGGCCGAAGGGGGTGTTTTTGCTCAAAATGTATTCAGCAACTGGAATTTAGGTGCATCCCTAATATATATAAGCTCCCAGGATCAGGCCCTCCTATGCCTCTTGTATTGAACTGTATTGTCTCCCGTTATATTGTAAAGTACTGAGCAAACTGTTGTCGCCATATAAATCCTGTATAATAAATATAAAATATATATATATATTTTTTTTTATTCTCCCTGTGCTTGCGTGGGTTTCCTCCGTGTACTCCAGTTTCCTTCCACACTCCAAAGACATGCTGGTAGGATAATTGGCTCCTGTATAAATTGTCCTAGTTTCATCCCTGGCCATGTGGGATCTCCTGCATCGTAGGGGTTGGGGAAAGACCTGGCAACCTACCCTGTAAAATAATTGCTAAGAGAATTCATGGAAAAAGTCGCTTACGAGTGATGGTCCATGTAATCGCCAAGGGTCAGATACGACTGAATGGAGATATATATATATATATATATACACATATATACATACATATATACATACATATATACACACACACACACTTCTTCCTATTTCTATCACAAGGTATGTATGCATTCCTCGTGAAAGCAATAAAAATGTTCAAACCCCCCCCCCACAAATATCTAATGACTGTAAAAATAAGTAAATAAAATATTTTAAATTAAACACAAGACAAAAAAACCCAAAATGTCCAAATCACTGTTAAATGCCCAGAGCCATGTGTCTGTAAACACAGGACTCTGTGTGATTAGCTACAGCCAATCAGCAGCTTTCAGCCATAAATCATTTGCTGAAACCTGCTGACAAACCTGTGCTGTGTCCAATCACAGGCCAGCAGGTGGTGTGTATGCGTACCCCAAACCCAGAAGAAAGCCGGCAATGTACAGGTACATCTGGCCTGGTTGTGCACTTTCCACCCGGCTCTCAGGGTCTGCCCAGCCCTGGTAACAACTTGGCATTCACAAGTGATACTGGAGATGATACAGGTACCAAGATATTCCAAAAGAGCTGTATCTGACTCAAATCGGACACGTGCGAAAGATAATATTTCAATACTTTTTTTTTTTATTATTATTAGTAGTGTTTCCGCCTTGAGGCTAACCTGATAACTGTAAAAAAGAAGCTCAGAGCGCCACATGCTGGACTGAAGTAGTATAGATTCCCATGCAGTACGTTGATATTTTTAACCCTTTTCTTCCGGTGGGAGCTGGACATTTATCCCCTTTCCCTCTAAAACAGTTTGGGATGCCCTGGAGCAGAAAGGATTGAAGATCACTGTCACATCGATCGCATGACCGAAAACTGGTCCCGCCAGCTATCGATCTACACGCGGGACTTAGAGCTGTCTGCATAACTCCGTCCCACTCGCAGCACATAAAACGGTCGTCCAGAGATATGCGCGGTGTGTGGGCTTTAACCCCCCTGGCGGTATTCCTGAGTGTAGCTCAGGATAAAGTTTTAGTACCACAAGCAGTAACCCCGAGCTACACTCGGGAATACTCTGCAGCGCTGCTCCAGGATCTCTTTTTCACTTACCTTGTCCTGCGCTCCCGCGATGTCCCTCCTGCAGTGTCCCCTGTAATGTCCTCCGGCCGATGCCGGCATCTGTCTTCTGGGTTCCGTTCCCTGCGACTTCGGGACATACGGGGGACGGAATGGCGGGAAATTTAAAAATGTGAAAAAGTGGCACTCCAAAATCACATAGTATAACATTCCTGTATCAAACCATTTCACATACATTTTGTCCCGAGTGCTTTGTCCGGCGCCCTGCCTGCATTTTTTACCGTTCTTCTTTCTGCCTGGAAACTGAGAAACATCCATGGCGTCCAAAAAGCGTCCCTTTAGGGCAAAAGTGGTTTTAGACCGGCTAGAGAACAGCGATAGTAAATCAGAACCACTTGCAGAATTGAGTGATAATGATTTGTGGGGGAAATTCATCATCAGACACTGAAAACGATTCTGCGACTTTGCTCAGCGATGTGCGAACTTGGCGCTATATTTCACATTTCAGTGTTTTTGGTTTGATTACATTATTGAATTAAATTTATTATTATATTATTTTTTATTATTATTTATTAAATTATAATTTATGATTTTGTGTTTCAAGTTTTATCCTCCCCGGGATGTTTACTAGACTCTTGTTCGGACAGATTTCAGTGAGTTATTCCTAAAAATTACAGCCTACAATAAAAAAATACATATTTCCATGCAAAAAAATGTACCGCTTTGAGCACAGAAATATGGACATAATCAGACTGCTGGGGGGGTTAAAGACCACCCTTCGGCCACTGAACGAGTCAGGTATGTGATTGCAAAAAGCTACCTTTTCTTCAAAATAATAAACATGTTATACTTAAAGGAGAAGTTCACCTTTCGTAACGTGTTACACTCGTATTCAGGGTGTAATGTGTTCAGGACGGCCCACTCGCCCCCCCCCCCCCCATGATCCCTGCTTTGACAGCTGGCGGGGGGACCTTCTCCACCCTTGCTAGCTGTCAAATTTTAAAAAAATGCGGCCATGCAGGGCTCCTCCCACACAGCCGTGTCACTCATTCACAGTCATCTGTGAATGAGAGACTACAAGTACGGACAGCCTCAGAGGTTGTCAGCTTGTAGTCCTCAAACTACCACGGCCCTATGAAGCTGATCGCTGGTGCAATGCTTTCCAGGCTTCTGCAGACAAACTAATAAATGCACATTTTTTTTTACCTGCAAACAAATTTACATTTATTATTTTTTTTCTAAAAGGTGAACTTAGCCTTTAATAGTCTTGCACAGAGCAGCCCCGATCCTGTTCTTATGGGGTCCTCCGCCAGTGCTCCTGGCTCCTAACCCCAATTGCTACGGGGGCACTCGTGCTCATTCCCAAGCCCTGATCTGTGTGTCTATAAGTAGGGATGCACCAAAATTCCGGCGGCCGAAACGTTACGGCCAAAAACACCCCTTTCGGTTGTTGGCCGAAATGAATAAAAGCACCGATACAGGTGCCGAAAAAACCCTCAAAGCCGCCCATCCACCCGCCCCTTCAGCCCTACCTGAGAGAAACCATCGATCCCAGTGCTGGGCATAGAGACGAGTGAAGGAAAGATGGTCACCACACACATCTCTATACCCTTGGAGGACTGGAGTGATGTCACTTCCAGTCATTTTTTTTTTTTTTTTTCAAAAAGCAGTAGATCAATGCTGTTTTTTGATCCAATGCTTTAAATTGCAGAGGAGAGATGTGGGGTCTTATTGACCCCACATCTCTCCATAAAGAGGACCTGTCACTAACTATTTCTATCACAAGG